TCCCTTTGCCCTTGTACAGTGGTAGCACAAGGACATCCTTCAGCTCAGGAGGCACCTCCTTAATCCACACGCGCTGCACCAAGTGGTGCAGCGCAGTCAACAACGCGGGTCCGCCGTGTTTAAATACTTCAGACGGAATCCCGTCAGCACCGGCATACTTGCCGTATCGCAGCTGAGCAAGTGCTCTCTGCGTCTAATCCAGTGTCGGCGTGTCTGCCAGACTCGTCTTCACATGGTACTGCTTAAGGCCGTTCAAGCTAGGCTAGTCGATCTCCGAACGGTTGTTCTAGAGACCGTCAGTGTGTTTTTGCCAGAGCTGCGTTATGTCTGCACTCTGTGTGTCCTCAGTGGCCTTAACCTCGGTCCATACGTCTCCTACAAAGAGTCAAAGAATTCCTTGTGTTGGTGACGTTCGGCGTAGCATTCCATCTGCTTTGCCTTCTCCGTCCACCATACATTTTTAATGCGACGGAGCTCCAGGGACAGTTGCCGTCGAAAGTCGTGAAACTGACTATTCTTCCCCAAGTCACTGGGGCCTGCCACATATACAGCAAATGCTACATTTTTCTCCGACACCAATGCGCCAATCATGGCATTGTTCCCATCAAACCAATCAGGCCGCTTACAGTTTGCGCCCGATGGTCTCTCCGACAGCATCTGTCACCTGGCCGCGAATTTGGTGCCACAGGTCGCCCACTGTAGCTATACATTCCACATCACACAGGTGTGCAGCCATCGCCTTCTCCAGCTCAATACGTTTCACCACAGTACCGAGGGAGAGAATGTTAAATTTACGCCGATTCACGGCGGGAGTGCAAAACATAGGTTTACGAAAATAGATGTATAATTTGGTCCGCACCAATTTGTGATCAGTGCCACACTCAGCTCCACGCAGTACACGTGTCATGCGCACTTCACGCGTATCACGCTGACGTACGGTGTCATAGTCGAGCAGATGAGTGTGACCACTCCGTGTGTATGTCCAAGTTGTTCTATCACTCCCGCTCAGTGCAAACCGTGTGTTCGTGGTCGCTATGCCATGAGTGGCATACGGTGAGAGTAGCCTGTCATCGTTCACATTCGCTGAACCAGTGCCATGCGGACCGATGACATCTGTCTGCACCGATGCATCACTCCCAACGCACGCGTTGAAATCACCCAGCAGAAGTGGTCGGGCACTCCTGGGCACAGACCGTATCACGGAGGATAGCTGAGTGTAGGACTGATCACGCTTGTCATCAGGATAACGCATGGTCGGACCGTACGTGCTTACAAAAGTGGCAAACGTACCTCTTCCGCGGTTTGCTACTGGTTTGCTACTACCCGCCTCAAGCCAGGCAGTAGCAAACCATTGAGCACCCGGAGGTGCCCTCCCACCGTCAGAAACAATGCGTGGCGCTTGTGCTCTACGCCAATCGAGCTGCGAGCTAGTAACCCGTGGACCTGTTGTCTCCCATGGGTGTAGGTCATGCGGACGATATTGTTTTGCCGTTTGACCATTATGGGACTGCTCTGGATGCACTTCCTGGAGTAGTCCCCTCATTTGGTGTGCGCCTCTCGTTTTTAAATTGCTTAGTTCAATTGCAAAACCGTTTGTCTTTTGATTAACGGGACCGTTGCGACTGCATTATCAATACTGAATGTGTGGGTGAACCTGTGGAGTCTGAGGGGGATTTCGTTCGGTCCTCAACTCAGTGTGTACACACGACCGAATTAAAGATCCCTTCGGCCTGCGAATCTGCAATCTAAATGCCACACTTAGTCGTTCTAGATCAAAGCGATTGCAGCTTACCGACACCGTACGCTGACAAACAGTCCGCCGTGTGTGATACAGCTTTCTCGTGACTTCCACTGCTGCGTGTGAGAATCAATTTTTTCACTCTTAACTCTCGTACAACTGTACCTGACGAACAGAAAACAGCATGCATGCAGCCCAGGTTTGCCACAAAGAGTTCAATCTTACATCTTTCAATACATCTGCTGACTGCTTCGTTTCCAACTGCCCAGACAGTCGTCGCGTCTCTAAATTGACGCCAACCTGGGTTCAGCGAATTAGTAAGGTTACCCTGATTAAATCGTTAATGTGGACGCGTTCCCAGACAAGGCCATTATGTTCATTTTTATTGGCTGTTCTGATGAATTTCTCTTCAACCAGTTTCTTGATGCTCTGGTCAGCGCAGAGGATACTCAACGGTGCCCTATCTGCTGCATCGATCAGGGTGGATAGGGGTTTGGATGCTACTGCTCAAGCTTTCCCATCTTCCTATCCCCCCTCTTACACTTTTTCTCTCTCACCGTCCCGTCCCAATTTCACTTTTATCCCCTCTGTTTTCAACCATCCAATTCTTGGTCCTCCCCCCCACCTTACTTTGCTAGGCTTTTACCTTCGAGTTTCAACTCATGTGAACGCCGAGCGTCATTCTTGTCCTGTCGACAAGCCCATGTCCAACCAAGCGGCCAAGCCCAGTTCATCGACTTCTATTTGGAGCCCTTGATCCTCCTTCCGATTGGCATACCCCAATGTATGCACATTGCTCCAGATCGGTCAACAGGCAGTACTTGCCCGAACATTAGAGACCCTCTCGATGGATATCTGCTGCTTATCGGAGACCCGCCTGCAATACTCGAGCTCTGTGCTCACTCTGCGATCCCCTTCTGGTGACACCAGCAGCACTTTCTCATTGCGTCTATCCGGTGACGATGCAGCTTCGAGCACCGGCCAAGCCGGTGTTGGTATTGCCCTAAGTCCCCGGGCTGAAGCTGCTCTGGTTGACTGGATCCCAATCAGTAGCCGGTTGTGTGCAGTCCGATTGGCTGGCTCGTTCAAGGTTTCGAAGCAGCACGGGACTAACCGGTGTCTATTCGTCATCGCTGCCTATGCATCCACAAATTCTAGCGATGATTCGGTAAAAGACGACTTCTATCGCCAATTGAACGAGCTCCATCGCCACAGAAGAAGCTCGGACACTGTTGTGCTGGCTGGGGATCTGAACGCTCAAGTTGGAAAATTATCCACTGATGCACTGCATCTGGGCGGTCAACATGGTGTAGGCTCCCGTAATGATAACGGTGGGCGGTTACTTCATTTGTGTGAAGATGCTCGGTTATTTCTTGCGAGCCCTAATTTCCGACACAGCACCGGCCGGAGGGTGACTTGGCGCGCACCAGCCTCGAACCAGCTATGGACGCAAATCGATCACATTGCGATAAGTTACCGATGGAGAGGCTGTGTCCAGAACTGTTGCTCGATTTGGAGCCCAGGTGTAGACGCCGACCATGCACCTCTATGTGCTGACCTGCGGATATGTTTTGGCTTACGCCCGGGACGATGTTGTGAGCGTATTAACACCAGCCAACTGGTGAAGCCAGCTGTTCTGACTGCCTATCAAAGTACGCTGTCATGCGAGTTGAGTAAGCTAACGTGTATAATGATGATGATGACGATGATGATGTTCTGGTGAACTATCCGGCAAGTCATTGTTTAGTACTCATTTGTGCAACTCTTCATCGTTGCGAACAGACTGAGATGGCCCGGCACTAGCAGCACACTGTAGTCAAACACCTGACATCGTATTGGCTGCTTAAACTGAGAAAGGCAGACCGCAGAATTGAAAGCCCCTCGCTGTTGCGCTGTCGGCACAGCCGGTGTTTCGATACCAGAAGGGTCACTGATTTCTATACATATGCATAGTACCTTCCTTGCTCACTGTACGTTTGTTGAACACTTTTCTGTTCATTGTTCTCACTGCTTACCCCGTTTAACCCTTCCATGGCGCCCATCTTACTGTTCGTTTCGCTTAAATTGGGTAGATCACTCCAAATCAAGCTTCTTGTTCCTGTGCAGGGCCTATGATTGGAATCACAATCAAATCTGTCTAAGGGGACCACTCAAGAGACGGGCAAAAGTGGTCTCCTTGGACAGGTGGTCGCCATAGGTAGATCCATCGAGACATTACTTCTAGGAGGAAACGTTTGGGATGCTTTTGACTGGTCGCCAAAACAGGTTAGACTGTATATAGACTGTCTGTTTCGCGCTTTTTGTTAATTGAGCGCTGCTTTTTCCTAATCAGCTCCACCCAGGTTCTATGGTTATGTCCATGTGTAAGCTGCGATGCTGCTACACATCCACGTGCAACATCGAGCCGCCGCCGCCGGCCGTGTTCATTCACTCACTGTGCCAAGAGAGTTGAATGTACTTCCGTTATGCGACCAACCTATGTATCCGAGCTTTTATCTACCAGAGGCAGTTCATTTTCCACGTGACTTTGCTACCTAGTTTTTTTGTGCCGAACTGTTTGCTCTTCCATCTTACTGATTCCTAAACGTTGCAGCTCTTTCATCGAATACCGGACTTTTACCGTAGAAGGGGTGACGTTTCATGCATTCTAATCTATCCACTGAGTTGCGGTTCCCTTGTCTACCCTTGGTGCTCACTTCTATTAAACTGGTTTTCCTCATCTGACTAAGCCATAAATAAATAAATTCGTATACTTCAAGCGGTGTAAGGACCCTAAGCGGGAATGATCGTTTGTACACCGAAGTAGTGTCATGGTTTACACGGCTTAACACGTAATAATAAAGACAAAAGATGAAAATTATATTTCCGAGCATGAATATTCCCTCAGATCATCGACTCGATCGCATGACTTTGGGACACATACAGGTGGCTAGACGTGACAGCATAGTCACAGTTTGAATTTCGTCCATATTTAGTAGAACCGCTTTTGGTGGCATTTGAATCAGTCACGGCTGAAGATGTATCAGACCCCCTTCAACATACTTGTTGCCCCGATTTGACTCGTTTAGGTCCGTTTATTCCGCCGTTACTGCACGATACTTGGCCAATGATGCTTGCAAACACACTCGCCTCCCACCCTTGTTTATTTGAGTCCGGTGTTGATGTGCCGGTCTGCACTAATAAACAAACGCTGGCTGCAGTTCTGTTCCACCGCTGTCTGTATTCACTTGCCATTTGTCTACTTCCTGTCTCCCTTTTGCAGACCTGCATGTGCATACCCTTCTGTTCTCCAACCTGCACTGCAAAATGGTCCAGATATGTACAATGAACGAGATGCTTACAGCTTCGGTATTCTTGGCAATCAACCCCCATCTTCCGTTCAAACAATGTCATCCAATCCCAATCTATACTCTCTCTCCATCCCTGGCCAAAGCTGTCCTGGAACTTTGTTGGGTAGTGCGGGCACGCAGTCCTTTCATCCCCACTCTTCTTCTTTTTCGATCCCATCGTATTCACAAATCCCTATGCAACCCGCCTACTCTGCTCAAATGACTCCTGATCTCATCCCTACGGGTCAAGCGCCAACCTCTTTTCAGACTCACCACCACCACCAGCAGCAGCAGCAGCAGCAGCAATCGCAACAATATTCCACTATCATTAACCCTAACTCTGATAAGCAGCTGATCTCTCAGAATTCCCGCTCCACTGGATCCGTAGCAGGAGGCTACACTCGCATCTCCTTACATCCAGGCATGTCCATGGCATCTCCATCCTATGGATCAGGAGGAGCAGCTTTGTCTGGCCCCGTCACAAGTTCGACGACTTCCCTGGGGCAACAGCATATGCCAACAAGCAACACCACCCTTTCAGGAAATGACAACCGAAGTGTATCGCAGCCTCAATTGCCTTGCCGGTCCACCGGATCACGTGTTGCACCTGACCTTAGTGGTAAGGTTCAACTGCTGCTTACAGAGTCTCCTCTTTACTAAGTGACATCATTTTCTCGCCTTTAGTTCTTCACCACACTCATTTACTGATGGTTCTCGGTTACACAGGCTGCACTGTGTGGGGGTCACTCGGCACTGGTTTTAGCATGCGGATTACATCCCTGCTCCGTTCCGCTCATATGTACTCTTTTATTCGAACTACTTAGGGATATTTGGGACCTCTTGAGGAGTCATGATGTTATATTGGTTCGCATATGGATCGTTTTCAATTCAGACTGGACGTTTTGTAGACCAAACTGGACCCCATTTGTTTTTTAAGCGGAATATCAGTAACTTATTAACAATGAAGAAAACGTTAACGTTAAAGACGGTCGATTAATGAAGAACTGTCCCGCTGCTTCCTTTGTCAGATTCAGCACCGTACTGAGGAAACACCCCGTACAGTCCTCCTATGTTACTGATCCGACGATCTGAACGATCACGTTTAGTGTCGAGTTGGTCTGCAGGCATCCTGTCGACACTTTTACCTTAAAAGCACGTTTTTTGTCAGGTTTAGTGTGCAGAAGTATAGCGACAGATACTTGAGCTGATATCACTACCTAGGATCTTACTTCGATCATCCAGCATGTGGATTCCGATGTTGCCCATGATCAGCCATGCACCGTTCATCTCCACTCTGCAGTGTGTGCACTCTACAGGCCATTCAACAAACATTGATAATTCTTCACCATTGCAGGTGCAATCGTTAATGACCTCTAAATGAACTATGCTTGGTTGTTCATTGTCACCACCATGCAATCTCTGTCTGTGGGCGAGATAACGGTCGCGCGTGTCCCTCTTCTTGCGTGGACCTGCTCCTGTCGTAGATGGGGTTGAAGTCGCCCTATAGCATAGTCACGCAACTACACAGGTTGTTACGTACATACTACATACATACATGAGATTGGATGCATCATTTTCTGGTTTTGCCTGTTATTGGGGATCCCATCAGACAGACGCAGCATGGGCGGCTTGCGCTGCACCACGTGTAGCTCAATCCACACACCCCATATCCAGTGTAAACCCGAAAGAATAAGACCGGGAGGAATGCGGATGCGAGCCACGTTTCATAAGCGTAACCGGTCCATATTCAGCGCAGCATTCTTGTCTACTTGGAAAAGCATGAGTATCGGACGTACACAAGGCGGTGACTGGGCCGTAGTCCGCTCCACGCAGGATGGGACTATTCTTTGAGCCTAGCGCCATCAGGCGGACCTTGCATCCTACTCCTCTAACAGCGATCAACAATCTCCTGGAGCCAGTAATCAAGGTGGCGATTTTCGACAGGGAGTCATCCTGTCAACAGTCGCACCAAGCGCAGCATGGCATTGCATATCATACGGGAGGGTTGACATCATTTGCACTTCCGGCAGACTGTCGAATTTACCCCAACTTAAACGACCAAGAACATCATATGTCTCCTTAACCCTATACTTGGAAACTACACGATCTCAGTTCAAACGCGGTATAATCACAGACCCTCACAAGCATTTTTCTACACTTGTGTATGATCTACCACAAATTGAATGAAAAACATGAACCTAACGGACGAACATGCATGATTTTAGATCTTAGGTACAACTAACTACCACATCGGTCACGTTTTGGGGAACCACATTTGCGGGAATAAGTACCCAATCAGGACCGCCCTATTGGGAAACATGATCGATACCTGTGTTCCGCTTTGCTCACTAACCGGGGTTCTTTAGGGTCCCCGCCACGTGACATAAACTGATTCGGCCGTCGCAACGCACGCATCGCTTAGTGGAGCCCCGTCTTATTTGCATGATACTCGGTTGTCAAATTGTTGTGTCACTGCGCCGGACTATGCGTTCTCCGGACCTAGACTAGTGGACGAGACCGTAGTATAACATATGCGAAATAGACAATGAATGTGCGGCAGTATGACAACTGAGCAAATCAAACTAAGTGACTTAAGGTAAGCTAGTGTAAAAGGGAGAGAGGGAGCACGTCTGTCGCCTTCTTCGATCAAGGTGAACAACCTTCGCGTTCAAGAGAAGGATTTGCACTAACATCCGGGTTAAATTAGCGTGACCCCAATGTCGGTATAACAACGTCCGGTCGTCTTACATCTTGCTTGTCATCAATTGCTGACTAGTTGCTTACAAAATAGTCTGTGTCCAGTTGGATTTTCAAGACATCCAGTTTGGTTCCCAAAACGTTCCGTTTAAAGAGAAAATGGTATACCAACTGGCTGCTTGGTGTCTGAGGGTACACCTTTTTCTTGCATCCTCATGTGTTTCAAAGAATCGAATTAGTATCTCGTTTTTATTTTCGAATGTTCATTCTCATGGAACTGTCACTTTTGCAAGTTTGCATTCAAACGACTCGATCGGCAGTTTCTTCTTTCACTACAAGTGTTCAATCGGTGCTGCTTGCATATCACTCATTAAGGCAACGGATAGTCTGACGCTGTATCCTTCAAGCGCCATCTCAGTGCTGGAAATGCGCTTATTTTTTATACAGCTTATTTTGGCTTGGCTCACTTGCATCTGCCTCGTGTGTTGAACAACGTTTTTCGCCTTCTGCTTACCTCTGTTGTATTCTCTTCCCCTCTCGAAGGTTTTCCCAGCCAGCCATTGTATTCATCATACTCTTCCGGAATGTCCGTTACTCAGCCTGCTGCTGCTAATTGCTCCTCAGGAGTAGCGAATGTACAGGTTCCATATTCGATCGCCATTTTTAGTTCCACAATCCCGGTCACAATGTCTTCAGTAATGAACAAGTCGAATATTTCCTCTGTGGCTTCTTACTGCTCAAATGCATCTGTTGCCTCGCAAAGCGTTCCTGGTTCTGGTCCTGCTACTCGCCCTCCCTGTTGTTCCACACTGACTTTGGGGATGCAGCAGCCCTCCATATACGTTTCTCAACAATCCAGGTTACAGAACCAGTCGACAAATTTCGCACCTACCGGCTATGTCAGTCAACAATACACACCCTCTTCTGTTCAGTTCCGCCCGGGGACTAATGTTGCCCCTGGAACCGTTCCATCAGTGCCAATGATGTCACGCTCTCAAAACACATCTTCTCCGCTGATGAGTAAAGATATGTCTGGATCGAATTGCATGACGATGCATCCTGGTCTGATGCAACAACCAATCCAATCGAACCAACTCCCTGTCTGCTCATCTGCTGCCTCATCCGATTCTCCAAACTCTTGCTCGGCATATCCATCCTCCGTCAGCTGCAAGGGCTTTCGGGGCAACATTGGTGATTCAGCTGGACAAATGTTTACCGTCTCTGGATGCGGCGTTCCACCAAATATGTTTAGTTCCAGTGCCTCAGTCACTCCTCCTGGAAGTATCATCCTGAACGGGCCGACTCAGTCGATGTGCCAACCGACACTCATCGGTCATGTGAACGGATGTGTTCCCATTGGATCAGAAAACGATATGAAGGTGCGAACTACCGTTCATGCTGTATCGCTATTCACCTAGTCTCGTTCATATGAACTCTGTAGACACTCCCTTTACCACCGTCACTAGGTCTGACCGCGTACTTTGAACCGAGGACTCACCATCACTTCGGTATCTTGCCTTATTTCCTCGCAAGACTACCCATGTAAACAATGAGGTAAATGGCCACCGTGTGACTGCGAGACAAACACAGTGCGACCAAAATTTCTCGGTTTTACTTCATCTCCATATGCTCACTTCGCTACCCACAAGGTTAGGCCACTGCACTGCTCAGCCGTTAGGACGCGCACCGGAGTTTCCGTGATGCCTGACATTACCTTTTACTGAGTAAGCGCTCACCCCATTCATTCAGCACTTTGAAATTTAACCGAGCAGTGGTATTGCATCCACGAGATTACCAGGAATTCATATCTCGACACAGGGTGTAGAGACAGTCGCTGTCTCTAACTCGTGTTTCTTCACTTGTTCTTCATTCTTCTTGATCTGCAGATTCTGCGCGGCGAATTTGATGGCATCCCGGCAAATTCCTCATCCATGATGATGATGACGATGCCCGTCTCTTCTCCCATCCCCGGAGGAGCGCTCATCAATAACAGTCTATCTGCTGGGGTGATGAACGTTGCAATGGTCAACCCGACTCCCGCTCCGCCGCCGTACCATCACCCCAACACTCTTGTTAACTGTCGCTCCTTGGGTCCATCTCCTTTCTACGGTCCTCCTGGAATGACTTCAATGACCGTGACCGGTGGCATGCACAACAATGCAAACTCCCTGTCATCCTTACCCGATGGTTGTAACATGATGTCTGGCGGTTCGATAAGCACGGAACACCACTTTCTTGGTATACCTGGAGAACCCGTAACGATCTCCGAAGCGAATTTAAAGCAGTCACAGTCAGGTTCTCTGAAAGCGGCTGTTCGACCCAAACGAACCAGAGCCAGTAAAGTGAGTTTTGTTTTTTCCCTCATCTTGCGATGGTCGTTTCTCATGCATCTGTTGGGCTGTTCGTTTCATTGAATAGGCTACGTGTCATTTGCAGTCCTGATTGTGTTACAGTAATCGTTTGGCTCCAACCTTCACTTTTTTTTAATCTAACTACCACTACTACGCCGTTTCTCCCTTCTCGGTTACTGAGCTCAGTTATTGGGTTGTTAAACTATGTACTTGCGAACACGGTGCTCTGTAGTTTGTGACACTTCGGCGTGTGGCTTCTTATGGTCACATCGAACGGTGTCCAATGTCCTGAGGTGGATCACGGACAAGAGCTGGTTGGCAATCGAATTGCACCGACGCTTCTCCAGCTTCATTGCACAACTGGCAATGTTCGACAATTTTCCTTAACATACTATGGTTATAGGTAGAAATGTGACGAATTTCTACCTATACCATTCAACTTCCCTTACTACTTCTCTGTAATACTGGGGTTAGTCAAGTATTTCGTCCTTTTCAGCACACTGGGTATCAAATATCGGTATGCTCATTAGTGCATTCGACACTTTCTGCTTTTCCTATGTGAACGGATCTCGATCTCGCGTAGCATCTTCGTGAGTTGGATACAGTCGGTTTTTGAAGCCCATCGTCTCTACTTCGTGTCTCGTGCTCCGAGTCCCTAGTTCTGTGTCCTCTGCAACTCCGTATTTTGTTGAACAGGTCAATTAACGCATAATCACGACCGTCAGCAGCAGCATTCAGGATGGATTCCCTTCCCACTGTTTCCTTGAGCCCTCCAACTATATGACCGCTTCAGCGGTTATGTTGGCTGTCGTTCATTAACATCCAATATTGGTGCAGGCAACATATTGTTGCTCCTCTCCCCCACATACGCACGTTTCCGTCTATATGACACAACCACCTATCATGAGAGAACGATTGTTTACTAGACTCCTCTCCTCTCACACATACACACTAAAGTTGTTAAGTGGGTTTTCCGGGTGCCACATTTTTTCTCCTCCCACTGTTGATCGTTGTAAGCGATTGCAGTTACTTCATCTTTTGATTTCATCCACACCTACCTACTCTGCACGATAATTACTTGCTTTTGCTCACCGATGCCATCGAGGTATGCCGCCGCACGAGGGATTTCACACGCCGCCCCCCTCCCATCGTCTCGTCCCTGTGTGTGCGTTCGCGTGTTCCAATGTACGCTTAAACAAATGTGCAAACTCCTTCGTCACTAGCATTGTGCGCCCGCCCGGTGCCTTTTATTCGCCACACGATGGAACAACGAGTATCCCGGTCGAAGGGTTCGTTTTTCAGACAGTTATAAGCGTCATCCAGACACGCGAGAGAGACAAGTGTGTGCACAGCCAGAATGACCGACTGTAGTCGCGACCGCGGGTGCCGCTAACCCATTCTCGCCGCCTGCCTATCTTTGTTCGTTTCCACACGCACCGACGTAATGGCCTCCACTTCGTTGACTGGTCACTTCGTATCACTGTATGTTTCGATTTTGCTTATGGTCACCGCGATCTGCCACTGATTGTTTCCGAGGCGTGTGTCCTTCCTCTTCCCAACATCTCCCTCCTGTTATCGTTTTCTCCCGGTCAATGATCACACACCAGGGCATTATTCCACTCCCTTGTGCATCCGTCCTAAAATTAGTACTGCACCCGTACTCATTGATAGCGCATGCCTTCCTCACCTGCGCGCTCACGTGCTATGGCAGCAGCCTAAGAGGCACACAGGTGAGGTAACCTGCCGCACATGAGATTCGTGCACAGTCTACTGCTCTACAGGATCTTGTATCGTTTGTGGGTGGTGAATGTTCGCATTCTGTCGTGTGGTGCCATGCTTCCATTCTCATCATGCATGTTCTAACCAAGCAATTCGACACGCGCAACGCTGCTGATCGATTTCTTTGCACGCTCTTCCCATAATATTTCCGTTGTCCATGGGTATTACGTGAATTTCTCCCATACACTAATCTAGTTAGTTGTGCAAGCCAACATTTTTGTCGCACTTGATCAGATCGGTCAACCCTACGCCGATAGGCATCGCAGCCCCGGCGAGCTTTCCCTTTTCTTCATCGAATACGTCTTTAAAGTAACGGTCGGCGACTGTGTGTCCCGTAGCCTATCACCCCAAGTTTATCATATATTGCGCCCTGTCGGCTTCGTGGACTATTCTTTATCGAGATTGACATGCGGTTTAACTGACCCTGGCATTGTTTGAGATGCAGTCTGTGATCCTCCGGGCACAATGCTTCACACTCCCCTGAAGATTTGGACAGACCCCTCAAGATTGTCAAATGATCCCATAGTTTACCCTTGAATCTCTTTCCAGCTATCACCCTTCGCCCTTCTCTAGTCACAACCGCCATGAGACTGCGTACTCACCGAGGTTGGCTGACTTCAAGCGGTGTGGTAGTAAGCCGTCATCTAATCAGAATTATCAGGCATCAATAGGATTTCAGTTTCTTGTGAAGAACGTTTACCTCTCGTTCCTTATTACCTACATTTGCTGCTCTTTGCTGTGTTTTGGTCAGCCGTCCATGTTAATTATCTCTTAACCATTAGTTCTCCGTCGCATGTGGTCATCTGTGCACTTTTGATGGTTTCTTTCCGATCAGTATACCTATGAGACTGCTCTGTCAGCCATTCGTGGAAACTGCTTATCGATCTTAGATGGACACTTTCCACCATATTATTGGCGATCTGATCTCGAAATACATCAGTTGCGGTGCGTATCTTGCCTCAGATAACACTGACAACTCATCCAGCAGCGCAACTGGGTCTCCTCATGCGTCCTAGGGATCAGGTTTCATTGCCCCGAAACCCACTGAAAAGTGCGGTAGAGTTGTCTACGAACTCATTTACTCACCCCAACTCATGGTTCTCTAGCCGGATCGTCGAGATTTCAGTGAAAAACAATGTGTTCCATTTATTCACCCACTTGGTTTTCTCACAAACTATTTGTTAATCGCACGACGTAGGCCTACCATATTGTCGCTGTGTCCCATATCCGAACACTGTGCGTCATCCAACTCTTAGTTCTGACCGCCCGCCCGCCGGCTGCTCGGACCCACGTTTAAACTGTCTGTGTCTGCATGTTTGTCCGCACTCCTTTGCTATATTTCGTCTCACCAAGGCCAGGTTGTTTCAGGCCACGCGACTCCGGAGTGACCATATGACCGCTGAGTCAGCACTGTCGCCAGCAATCCATACTGCCTCTGCCCGGTGAAGTGTGCTAGAGCCCACCTCGATGGCCGCTCACACACACGAGATGGGCATGTGGCAATGAAACAACGGCAGCTCGTCCGCATCCAATCGCGAACATGGACAGTCATCATGTGGCGGTGACATTGACCTTGTCTGCTTGCCCACCTCCGTTTCGGCATTGTTTTGGTTTTAAACATGACCGAGCTTCTGGAACTAGCCACCCGACGAGGTTTTCTTAAGGTGTGCATATACACTCGCGCCCTACGAAAACCTACCACTGTTAGCATAATCGGTGCTGACGTCCACATAAGTGAAGGGACTACACATCACGCACTTGCAGGGGGTATTTTGAATGGATTGCAACCCAATCTCTACATGAGCCGTGGTTCAATTTGAAGTTCGATCACTTGAGTCCTTCTCTGAAACGGAAAATGCTCCCGCTTGGGTGTATCAAACAAATCTTGACTTACTGAATGTCATTTGTTGTCCACTCGTAACGCCGCTGCACTCCACGACAGGTTTCATACATGTTTGCACTGTAATGATAATAAAACTGCAATTCGAAGCCGGGACACCGAGATGTCGGCTGAAGCCTCCACTCCTAGTCCACCGGGTCGCAGCGCGTTCCAGTTGCAGTCCTGCTGTCGATATTTGATGAGTGCAACCGAGCACGAGATCGCTTGTGGATTGCAGTGTTGTGAGCGCGTGGCGCTTAACATTCACGAGCTTCAGATCCCAGTGATCGGGTTGACTGACATTCATTTCAGCATGAATCGCGGACCGCATTGAGATTGCGCGTCGCAACCCATTCACACACAACAAGCGCTTCAAAAGGACCCCTCCAATCCGTTATGGTGACAAGTTTGCCTTCCGCGACTCGGTGGCTCAGGCGCACATGTTTCGGTCGACGTCCCTAGTTTGACTTGCAGTCCCTCTATATCTGTCTGACGAATATAAATAAGCGAAAAAAACGATCGTGTAATGTTATCTTTTCGAGTGGACGACAACGCGCAACATTTTTCACAGTCCAGATGCCTGGTCTCAAAATATACCCATATGCGCTTGGATTCCTCCTAATCCTCTCAACACTGTTCAACATAAAGACCACTTTTTAACTGTTAATCACAGCCTAGCTACCAATCACACGGCACTGCCGTCGCTTATCACTCGGTGATCGAGATACCGAGTCCGCTTCATAACAAGGGCGCTCCGCCTAACCCCCTCCCCGTATACCAGACTTGTGTCAATGAATATTACCCCAGTCATTGCGCTGCATTCTCATCGTCGTCTTTCCTTGCATTCTTCAGCGGAAGATGACCGGAGTCCTGACTCGATCGCGGGATGTACTACCTACCGTCAAACATCTTAGCAGCCAAAGTTCACTTATCGTAGTGGTTGGGAACTCACTGTTAGGCTTTTGCAATACCCGTAGATGCGTAGGAGCTACCATCCTTAACCTCAACTCGAATCTCGGTTGACTTTGACGATGTTTATTGGAATATGTTTGGAACCGACTGTGATTTCATGATTTCAGAAGGTTTTGTATACAAATCGGTTTTTTGGTAGGGTTTTATTGTGGCAACGTTTCGCCCTTGACACAAGAGCTTCTTCAGGCCAGTGGAGAAGAAGCTCTTGTGTCAAGGGCGAAACGTTGCCACAATCAAACCCTACCAAAAAACCGATTTGACGATGTTTATCTTTTTTTTCGCCGCTGTGGTGCTGTCATATTCCGAACAGTTTGCCTATCCATGGTCCTCAATAATATGTGGCCAGAGAGATGTCTATCGG